GTTTGGAAAATAAAATAAAATCTCATAGTCTCTGACTAATCCATTTGGCAGCCTTCACCGCAAAGGAAGTGCCCTATTAGCTGAACTTATAACATTTAAATAACTCCTTTCATGATCAGTCAGTTATTTAATGCAACCACGTCTTGGTTGTTCCGCATTGTTTGGTTCTTCCCCCAAACCCCCCCTGGCTATTAAGAAAATGTTGGTTCTCCATATGGGGCTTAAAATCCACGGAGTAATCTTATATGATATACAATGTGATAGCAAAGAGATTAAGAAAATGGTCTCAGGTCCCTCTCCCAAACTTACAACTCAAAAAAATTATGAAGTGGTTACATTTAAGCTGCATCATGGGAGCTCACCATTCTTTACACGGCTAAGGACTGTAATTATTTATAATTATTCAAGCATTATGGTGTTTTTTATATAACAAGTGATCTGAGAAACCCGAACACTAGAATATTCTTTTTCTTTTTCTTGCTAACTTTTGGATAACGATGCCTTTTCATGTTTTGTACTGAGTAGAAAGATTTATTAAGCGAGTCAGCTTGAGAACAGCCTTTAAAAACATGGAACCAAGAAGTGAGCGGGTCCAAGTCAGCTAAGTCTTGAGCTTGAGCGGTCAAGACTCGGACCAGCATCAACGTTTTTTTTAGAAGTCTTGGACAGATTCAGCAAGACTCTGGCATGTTTGTTCAAGACTCGGCCATGACTCGGGTTACCTGAGTCAGGTTTATCCTGAACCGTTGGATGCCAGTTATGAGTGATTTGGGTGAGTGAAAGTTGGACTTGTCCAGAGTGGTTGAGTATTCAAACAATTCTTAAGAACATAAATTGCTATTTTGTTCGACAGATTCATAAACAAGCTTCTCCTCATAAAAACATAAACAAATTTTTTATGCTATGTGGAAGATTCTATTCTTGTTGTATAATTAGGCCCGATTTGGATGGCTGTGGTTTCGTTTGGCCATTCAAGTGGGGGCCAACAAATCCCCACAGGACTATCTTTTGATGCTATAATTTCTGATTTCTTTTGAAACATCATGGTCTTATCATAGGTTTATTGCTTTTGTACTTCTTATCAGCGTGAATCTTTATTGCAAATGATTTGCCTAGCAAGCGGGTCAGTACTTCTGATATATCAATTTTTGGAAATATATCTCCAACTAGTTTTTCTCAGAAACTAGGATGTTTAGCCCTGGTTAAAAATTCTTCTAATTCTTTATCATTAGTAACTCTCATTGGGAAAAATTGGGGCCCATCTACAGTTCGCATGCTGCCTGAGAAATTTGGTGCGACTATTACAAAGACCAAAGTGGAAGGCTTTGATTAGGTGCTCCTTCTGTCTCTAATCTGCAATGAAACTAAATTATCTATTGCTAGGGAAGTGCTCCATGATCCGAAGGATGTGGAGATATCATACATCACTGGATTTGAACTTCCAAATGACATACACCTAGAATAGATCTGGCAGATCAAAATAGTTGGATACTTGGATTGATGTCTTAACCATTTCGTTTACCTTTTGGTGCATTCCTTTTGGAAGGCATATGATTGTTATGTATTCTAAGGTCTCATCTCCTTGGTGGGCATTTTTGGTGATGACTTGAACGTGCCTTTGGATGCCATTTTAGACCCCCATTTAGGTTGACACTCACTCAAGAAATGCAGCCCGTATTTGTTTGAGATAAAATCTGAAAGTGCCAGGTTTTATTCCACTTGCAAAACAACTGCATTTTCGTCTTATGTTAAACATGTATTGACCAAAACATGTGTTGCAGCCAAACTAGTGATAGATTAAGGCTTAGTTATCGATAAGTGTAGATGGTTGCTTGGGCACTTGATTTACTTTTTCATTTGAATGTTAACTTGGGAACTTGATAGAAATGGAACTGTAAATGTCATGTTACGGCAACCCTCTACCTGACCACTTGGGCCTAGAGGTCATTCCCTTGGGAAGTTGGATTTATGCTATTTGAATTCAATGTCCACATTGTTTGGTTCTTGCTTATGTATGTTTTTATTTTGATGATCTAAATATCTATTTCTTCTTTTTATAATTGTTTTAATATTTAACTCTGCCGTAGCCTGTCCCAAGCCCAGATAAAAGAGTTGTGTTAGATAGGCAGTCAGCATAAAACTTTACTACATATTTTCATGGATCCTGAACCTATTAGCCCACCCCTAATAGTTGGGACAAGACTCGGATGATGATGGATGTGTTCATAGATCAAGAATTCTGATCGAGCAAAATCTACATGGGGAATTTAAGCTTTTGTTTCCACATAGGTGGTCCCGTAGAATGCGGAAAAGTAGTTTTGTGGAGATGGCTGATTATAAAAACCAAATTTGTCAAGTAGATTTGGCCCCTGTTTGGACAGACCAAAGTTTTGGAATGTTATCCTCTTATCCTCCCCCCATTTAGGAGTGAAAATGGGCCCAGCTTGGTCTGCCCTGGGTGTTGGACTTTGTTGACCCTTCTTATTAAGAAAACACTGCCAAAATGCCTGCAGCTCTGGAAGAAAAGACATGTTTTTCACTTATATAGGAAATCGGCTTCACTGATGGAGTTGTTTCGCCATTGAAGTTGGTTTTAAAGTGACATTCTACTCATGGGTTTGCTGATGTACAGTTTTTGGTAGTGCTGATACCTTTATTTTTTTGCAGACTACACTAATATCGTCAACACATCTATTTATTATTGTGTAAACACTAATTTCAGGCATTGATGTTTAAAGAAGGTTTCTTTCCACACTGAGAACAATATGGGCAGCATATATGATTCAAGACAGGATATTGTTGAAACAAAATAGTTGCACCAATTATATTGTAATGTACTGTGTATCATGGTCCTTGAATACATGTGTTTGCCTTGATTTAACTCATGTTTGTAGAAGATAGAGTGACACTATGAAATTGGTCGCTTCCCTCCTTGAGTACCTTTATGCATTATTTTTATTTTGTTTGACTTGTAAAACATTATCAGTCCTGACTAATATATTCCTTTCAATCATCATGCTGAAATTGCAGAAAAACTGGAACCTTTTCAGCGTAAATGTTGCAATGGCTGGGACAGGCCTTTATCAACTTTCACGCAAAATACGGTAAATTCTTATGAATATTTATCTATAGGAAATTGACACACTTGCGAACAAGCACACTCACACACTCATGCATGTAGACACACACACACACACACAACACACCCACACGCACGCACGCACACACACACACACACACACATATATATATATATATAATTTACAACTCAACCCTTCAAAATATAAAAAGTTAATGTTAGAATGAGTTGTAAGGGGCAGATTTATTAATGATAAAGTTTCCCATATATGTAAATATTACTAAAAGATGAACGGTATTTTTGTCATCTTCTTAAGAGGTAAAGTTCAAATTTTTAGTAAAAGACAAGGGTATTCTACAAATAAAGTTTCTGCACATAACTTCTAAAATACCTTTGTACTTATGTAATAATTTCAAGTTTACCCTTAATGATTAAGTTACCTATTAAAATAATTTTTTAAACAAAAAATAATGATAATTTATGATAAATACACTCATCACCTCAAAATACAAAGTGTTGGTCCGGCATTTGGATATGATGGATCTCCCACCCCGGCTTCTCTTGCCTCTTCTATTTCTACCTTTGCTACTTTAATGAAACCTTGTATCTAGGAGGGGTGATGGCTTTGGATCTATAAGCTATGGAGCTTAAAATGGGTTGCGATTGATGTATTTTTCATAAAACCAATTTCTTTTTGTTTTAAAAATTAATTTTTTATAGTTAATTTAATCATTAAGTAAAGTTAAATTTGACATGTTAATAAACAATGGCATTTATGGAAATTAGTGTCCTGAAACGTTTTTCTAGAATCCCTTATCCTTTAATAAAATTTTCTATTATACCCTTATAAAGATGACAAAAGTACCCCCCTTGTCTTTTAGTAATAAGTGTATATACACTCTTACTTAATAAACACGTTACTACAAAAGTAACTTTTTTCAAAGAGAACCTATATAATTAGGAAATCCACCCCTTGCAACACATTCAAACATTAACTTTTGTATTTTCAAGGGTTGTTATATATATATTGGGCAAGATTTTCATAAGGTTGCAACCATAAATGATCAAAGTGCACCTTCAAAGCTTGTCCTAAGATGCAATTTTACTGTCAAATTTTTTTTGAATGGCCCAAGAATCTTTTTTCATGATAAAATTTTAACCTCAAAAAATGATTCAAGTTAAGCAGATCTATAAGAGCATGAAAGTCTTGAAAATGGACGGTCTAGATAATGTATTATAAGATGTACTATTTTTGGGTCTTGAAATCTTTTTTTTTTCCCTATCCATACACTCGATGTCAAGAAGACCAATTAGATGGTTTTCTAATGTCATAATAGCCTTTTCAAATGGAGTTTTGAGGTGCACCTGAATTCTACAATTTAAGGTGTTAACCTTATATAATTTTTTTCCATATATATAATACAATGGGACCATTTACTTTTGATACAAGGAGGTCACAATCATCGTTGACCGTTCGATTTGAAATCCGGTGGTTGAGGATGAACCATTGTTTGGGCACAAAATTCTAAATAAAATTTTTCGACTGTTGTGACATACTCTCACTATTGAATTTCACATCAGAAATCCAATGGCCAAAAGTGATTGTGACCTCCGTATAAAAAAAATAAATGGATTTATAGTATATATATATGATAAGTTTTGGCAAAAGTTTACGTTAGCTGCTTACTTAACACAACCCAACTTTTTTACCCGAGCATGGGACGGATTAAGGGAAAGTTTAATATGGAGTACCTCGAAATTTGATTCGGCGGGTGTTGGAAAAGAAAAGGGTCTTCAGACACTACATCGACTTGGTGAGAGATATGTATGATGGAGCGTTAACTAGTGTAAGAACAACTAGTGGAGAGACGAGTGAGTTTTCAATGACAATAGGTTTACATCAAGGGTCAGCATTGAGCCTGTACTTCTTTGTCTTAGTTATGGACGACTTAACTAGGCACCTGCAAGATGAGGTACTGTGGTTCATGTTAGTCGCAAATGACATAGTTTTGATCGATGAAACTTGAAACGACGTCAACAAAAAGTTAGAACTTTGGAGGGATGCTTTAAAATCCAAAGATTAGCTGAACTAAGACAGAGTATGTGGAATACAAGTCTAATAATAATGGGAGTAGAGATGAGGAAGTAGTTAAGATTGGTGTCCAGGAAGTACAAAAAAGACCGCACTTTTGATTTATTGGGTCGATAATCCAGGAAAATGGAGAGATGGAGGTAGATGTCGTGCATAGAATTCGAGCTCGTTGGGCGAAGTGGAGATTTTCAACCGGAATTTTATGTGATCACCACATACCAATAAAGACCAGCTTTGCTCTACGGGGCGGAATGTTGGGCAGACACAAAACAATATACCCATAGAATGAATGAGTGTAGCAGAGATGAGGACGTTGAGATGGATGAGTGGCAAGTCAAGAAAGGATAGAATTCAAAATGAATCCATTCGGGAGAATTTAGGTACGGCACCACTAGGCGATAAGATGAGAGAGAGTAAACTTAGGTAAGATGAGAGAGAGTAGACTTAGGTGGCCGGGCCATGTGTGGCGTTGATCAAGTACAGCACCTGTTAGGAGGTGCGAGTTAGTTCAAATAGAATGACTGAAAAGGGCAAGGGGTAGGCCTAAAAGGACGTGGTTGGAAGTGGTTCGAAAAGATATGGGGACTTATGACCTTACTGAGGGTAACCTTTAATAAAATAGAATGGTGGACCAAGATTCGTGTGGCTGACTCTAGTTAGTTGGAAAAAGGCTATGATGAGGATAGTGATGATAGTATAAATATATATATGGGTTATTCTAAAATATACTATACTAATAGTGAACTTAGCATTTAATACTCCAAAATTTCTGACATCAAATGCCCTAATAAATATAAAAAAGTATATCAACAATGGCTAACTTGAAATTTTGAGAAGCGTATTTTTGTAATTGTAACTTACCTTTCAAGTCCAATATCATTCAAAAAATCAAAGAATTTTTTTGAATTTGAAATTGAGTTTTAGAGGGATTTAAAAAGATCAAAATACCCTTTTAAAAATACATGAAATATTTATAGTAAAAAGTTCTTTTTATCATCTAAAGGGTATTTTATAGTAAAAAATTTGGGAGTACTAAGTTCTAGGTTCTCCATTAGACCATGATATATATATATACACATCCCACCATTTTATATATACATGTCTTCCTAGTTTGGGAATGTAGTCCCAATTATTTGTATAATTTGGGAGTACTAAGTTCTAGGTTCACCATTAGACGATGATATATATATATATACATCCCACCATTTTATGTATACCTGTCTTCCCAGTTTGGGAATGTATTCCCAATTATTTGTATAATTATCCGATATTTGGTAGGACCATTTCATGATCCATGGTATTTGATATAATGCCATGAAATACTTATGGAGATCTATTCTTGTATCATTATTATTATATTAAGCAAATTTCCTCTTAGAGGCTTGTATTTTTGGCGGTAGTATTTCGGTTCCTGATCCTCGTAGTTGGAACCAGTTTTTGAACCAATTTGGAAATTCCCCAATCACTGGTATTTTTATTTGAAGGAACCATGTATGGGAGTTATTGTTATTTTGGAAGGCAAAAACTTTATGCCATGCTTCAACATGCTCAGCATATCGAAAGTATTTGTTATTAAATCCTTTTGTCTGCAACCTTCTTGGTTTTACTGGATCCATACCCCAGTCCTTATATGATATTATTTTGAGGATCTGGAACTTGGAGTATGCAATTATATTAGTATTTTCCTTATAAAAATGGATCATTGTTATTGATCCGGTTTCCAAGAGGATGGCCTCATACCATTCTTGCGTTTTATTATTATTGGAGGGGTGTAAATGATTATCGAAATAGATATTTGTTATTTCATATGGATCTTTATCTTTATGAATATCATCTATTATTATTTCAGCTATAAAAGTGGTTTCTATGAACCTGTATTTTCCTTCTCCTGAGGTATTAGGTATTGATATTGGCTCAGGAGAGAATACTATTTTCTTATGCTTGCTTTCTAACTAATGGATTTGGGGTTATAGGAGAGGTCATTAAGGTCTTGTCTAATGCTGGAACTATTTCCATTTTCCCTGTCCCCTTGTTTGGTATTACTCTTCTGTCCCTGTCCCCCCTGCAAAACTTCACGGGTTAAAAAGTCAGGAGGATAATTTGTATTTCCTTTAATATGCTCAATTTCAAATTCAAAGGAGGATAATATACTTTGCCATCGTGCAAAAATCTGCTTTGAGATAAGGTGCTTGACATCTTTATTAAGAATATCTTTTGCGGACTTACAATCAGCGCGTATGAGAAATTTTTGAATTAGAAGGTCACTTTGAAACTTGGTAACGCAATGGACAATGGCCAAAACTTCCTTTTTAACTGTAGAGTAATTTTGTTGTGTTTGGTTCCATGCTCGTGAGGTGAAACAAACTAATTGTTCTATTTTTGAAATTTTTTGCTGCAATATACCTCCTAATCCTATTTTTGAAGCATCGCATTCAATTATCTTGAATGCAGTAGGATTGGATAGTGTAAGAGAGGGTAATTCCCTGGCTTTAATTTTTATTTTCTTAACAGCCAAAGTATGCTCATTTGTCTACTTTGGTGGATTCTTTTTTAACCTTTGAAATAAAAGTTTAGCATCAATGGCTAGATGTTTATAAAAATCGGCAATGTAATTAAGACATCCCAAAAATCTTTGAAGTTCAGTTTTATCTAGAATAATATGTGGAAATTTATCAGAAAACTCAATTGCCCTATCTATTGGGATTATACTGCCTTGGAAGATATTATGTCCTAGAAATCTTATTTTTGTTTGGAAGAGGCTAATTTTTCTAGCCGAGACTACCAGTCCTGCAACTTTTATTGCTTTGATGAAATATTTATGTGTTTGAAATGCTGCTCAATACTTTCAGAGAATATTAGGACATCATCTATATAGACAATCATAAATTTCATACAAGGATTGAAAATATCATTCATAATATTTTGAAATTCAG